TCTCTTCTCTGTAGGTTTTTGGGATTCCCCACTCTCTCCTGGTTCTCCTCTTCTCTCTCCTTTCTGGATGCTCCTCCAGGTCATAGCCTCTAATTGTAGGTGTCCCTCAGGGTCCGTCCTGGGCCCTCTTCTCTTCTTCCTCTGTACCACTTCACTTGGAGATTTCATCATCTCCCATGGATTTAACCACCATCTCTATACTGATTCTCAACTCTACCTTTTCTTCCCCAATCTCTTTGCTGACCTCCAATCTTACATCTCAGCTGCCCTTCAGATATCTTGAACTGGATGTCCAGTAAACATCTTAAACTCAATATGTCTAAAACACAACTCCTTCTGTTTGCCCCTCCCCCCCTTTCCTATCACTGTAGAGAGCACCCCCATCCTCCCAATCCCTCAGACTCACAAGCTAGGAGTCATCCTAGACTCCTCTCTAATATGGCGCTAAGACTCGTCGATTTCACCATTGCAACATCTCTCATATACGCCCCCTTCTCTCCTCTGACCCTACCCCCACCCTGGTGCAGACCCTCCTCCCCTTACACCTGGACTATTCCAATAGCTTCTGGGGGTCAAGTCTCACCCTACTTGTCCATCCTCCATTCAGCCACCAAAGGGCAGGCCCAACCATGTCACTGCCCTACTCAATATATCTCAGTGGCTTCCTCCTGCCTACAGGATCAAACCCTCTGTTTGGCATTCAAAGCCCTTCATAACCTGGCCCCCTTCTCCCTGTCCCATCTTCTTACACCTCCCTCCCCAACAGGGACGCTGGCCTCCTGACTGTGCCACAAATGAGGCCCTCCATCTCCCTGCTCCTGGCATTCTCTCTGCCCATCCCCCATGCCTGGAAGGCTCTGCCTCCTCTGCTCTGACTACTGATCTCCCTGGCTTCCTTTAAGTCCGAACCAAATTCCCACCTTCCACAGGAGGCCTTCCCCACCAACTCCTCTTAATCCCAGTGCTTTTTTTTAAAATTATTTCCTATTTATTCTGTACCTAGCTTGCTGTGTATGTATTTGTTTGCATGTTGTCTCCCCCACTAGACTGCAAGCTACTTGAAGACAGGGTCTGTCTTTTGCCTTTTTCTATCCCCAGCATTTAGCACAGTGCCTGGTACATAACAGGTGCTCAATGTTCGTTGAATGAATAAATGAAAATAAAACTGAATTTTAAAAAACAGGAGAGGGCTTAGGAGGGAAAGATATGAGCTCAATTTCGGCTATTTTGAGTTTGAAATGTCTAACAGGCAATGGTTATGGGAGACTGGAGCTCAGGGGAGACTAAGGCTTAAATTATGAAGACCCAACCTGACTTTGTTCTGCCCTGAGGCCAAACAGAACAAACCTAAAATATCTTCCACAAGAGTACACCAGATACTTGAAAATGGCTCTCATGTCCCTCCTGAATCCTCTCTTCTCCAGGCTAAATAAATATCCTTCGTTGCTTCAGACAGCTTCCCATGGCACGGACCCATGGCCTGTCCCCATCCCAGCCGCCATCCTCTGGGTGGCCTCCAGCTCATCCATGACCTTTCAGGAGCCCAAACTGAACTCAAGGGGCAAGTACCCCCTCACCGCAGCCCCAAGTCACCGCACTTTGGGCTCTGCCCCTCATCCTGTGACTGTTCACTAAAACATTGGGGTCTTTTTCAGACAAAGGGCTGTCTTAGCTTGGTTCTCCCCCACCTCATACTTGTGACATTGACTCTTCTGTACTAGCGTTAAGACGTTTATCCCCATTAACGTTTCATCTTTTTGTTTTTAAATTAAATCCAACATGCCGGCCTGTCAAGACCTTTTTGGAGCCTGACGCCTTGTGGGTGGGCTCTTCTTCCCAGTTTAAGGGCGATCACCTGAAAGCGTGATGCACCTCCTCTCTCTGCCTCAATCCCAGTCACGGATAAAAACGTTCAGCTGCACAGGGCCAGGCTCCAATCTCTGCGGCACTCTACTGAAGGCCTCTGGGTCACCAAGCTGATGTGCAGCTGTTACTGGCTCCGGAGTCCAGTCATTCAGGAAGCTTCAGATCCACTGAACTGCCGCATCTCTCCATCCCCGGCCCCCCAAGAGAGCAGGAGTTACATAATGGGTGCTGTGCTCAAGTCCAGCTGGATTATCCACAGCAGAACTCTGCACACACTACAACTGCCCCGATCACTTTATTGTAAAACGTATAAACCACTTCTAGGTCACTGGCTGTACACGGCCAGCACGCAGCAGGCCAGAGCTGGCAGACCCCCGCCCTCCCTGGATAACCCCGTCCAAGGAAGGAAAGGCTCGTGGGTCATACTCCCTTTTGCATGAAGCCGTGCTCCTTGGGGGCGAAGCCCCCTTCCTCTTCTACCTATTCACGACCTCCTTGAGAATCTGTTGTGAAGTTCTGCCAGGACTGTAGCCAGGCTTCCAGCAAACATTCCCAGGGAACCTCCAGTGGCTCGCTCAGGCCTCCCGATCAAACAGGAAATCCTCAAATCCCCCCACTCTAGCTCCCACCCACCTCTTCACGTCTGGTGCTCACAGCCCGGGGCCGGCTCCTCCTCCCCCTCCAGTCTCCTCACATCTGACCCCCCCACACACACTAAGTGGCATTGGCCTCCTAAGTCTTCCCCATACGAGACAGAGGAGACATCCCGTTTCTGGCTCTAGGCATTTTCTCTGTATCCCAGGCCTGGGATCCCCCCCCCCATTCTGACTACTGACCTCCCTGGCTCCCCACCCTCCACAGGCCATCTCTCCTGAGCCCCATTCCCTCTGAGGATCATCTCCAGTTTATCTTGTCTATAGCCTGTGCAGAATTGTTTGTACGTCATCTTCCCCACTAGATGGTGAGTTCTTTGGGGCAGGGACTCTCTTCTGTTTCTGTCCCCTCAGCACTTAGCACAGTACCTGGCACACAATAGGTGCTTAATCCATGCTTGTGGGCTTGGCATTCTCTGTTCCCTTCAAAGGACCACACCCAACATTCCATCTCCATGCACTCTCTAGGAACCTCAGCTTTCTTGCATGTGGTACTTCCCGAGGCCCAGAATTCAAAGGGCCTCAGGGGTCACCCCACTAATCCTCTCCTTTTATAGCACGAGTGAGGAAGCTGAGGCTCTGGAAGTTAATTGACTTGTTGAAGGCTGAAGAGCATCAAAAGTGAGATCAAGAGGCTCATCCTGACGCCCAAGCCAGTGGTCATTCACTACAAACACTTAAAGAGAGCAGGGGTGGTCCAGAACTTCAGGCAAACCATTTCAAGGATTTGAAGGAAGCCACTCCATTCTTGGGACAAAGCAGAGCTCCCCTTGGGCAGGAGTGGATGGAGGGAGGGAGGGAGGAAGGGATGGTTTTGGAAAAGAATGTAATATAAAAACAAAATTTATCAATAAACCATTAAAATAAGCCGCTTAGCCCAGCACCGATTGGTTAGGCTGTGGAAACTGTAAATGCCCAGGGCGAAGGTCTGAGCTCCCGGCTGGTCTGACCATTTCTCGACAGCCAGTGAGGAAGTGCAGGCAGGACCTCAGAATGCAGGTCACACTTCAAAGCCTCAGTCCCAAGTGAAGAGGTCTAGGGGTTTTGGGGTGCTGGGACCCCAAGATCGCGGTACTGGGCCCTGCTGAATGAATTCAACTCAAATCTTCTTCAGCCAGAGGAAAAGTTTATTAGTGATAAATCACATTGACCAGGTGAGGCCTGTAAAGACGAGCAGGCATGAGAAGTTCTCAGCCTTTTGAGCGTGAGATTCTCAGATAGGTGACGCCCGTAAAGACGAGATTCTCAGCATCTGAATGAGGGCCAAGGTGGATCTTAAATACCAAAGCAACTTTGGGTGGCCAGAGAAGGGGGTTGGGAAGAGGGTCTAGGTAAGAATTCTAATTGAGGAGGTCTGAGAGATTGAATAGACAATGGAAATAGATAATGGAGGGAACAGGAAGGCAGAAGTTTGAAAGGCATCTGCACAAAATCAAGGTGGGGCTAGGACTTTCAAAAGGAGATAAAGGAAGGCCTTTCTGGGGACTATAGACAAGAGGGAGCCTAAGGCTTTCAAAGGGATATGAGGGGAGTCGATTAGGAAATTTGAAGGTTTAAGGGTTTTTCTGGGTCCTGTAGACAAACAGGAGCCAAATTCTATTCAGGGCAAGGGTTGAAGGTGCATCTGAATAACATCTAAAGGTAAGCTAGGGCTTTCAAGGGAGATGAGGGTCAGATTCCCTTTGGGGCAAAGGGCGAAGATCTTGGCTTGGGCCCCGCCCCTATCACCAAGGGCTTGCTAGGCATGAGGGCTAGGCATCTCTTGGTCCTGACTCCAGCAGAAAACAGTCAGTGCAGTGTGTGTGCCTGGGGAGGGGGGAAGGGTGAAAGGCTGGCATGAAGGTCGGGAGACTTGATTGTCTGCTGGGGCACCCTATGGAATAGAGGCCAGAGGAGTCCCAATCCCACTTTTCTAACTCAGAGAAAACGAACCTTTTGCACCAAGAACCAGTGGGATCAAAAATAGAGTTGTGTCTGCCCGGGGTCCAAACTTTGCAAGAAATGGGGTGGTTTCTAACTTGTTAGTATGGTGGCACCAGTCGACACTTTGCCTGCCACACAGTAAGCCCTTTAAAAATGCTAAGTCACTGAATGGTGTTTGAGGGGCTGGGAACAGGAAAATCAGGGCTAGGGAGGGGGGAGAAAAGAGGCAAAACAAATATCGTAGGTACAGTCCTCTCTATCTTGCTCGTGCCCCAACCCAGCACTGGTTAACAAAGGATGGCAAATGGCGAATGTTGCCACTAAAGAGAAGAAAACCTCTTACATACTCCAAGTATTAGATTTCTTGATTCGAGGAAATCATTTTACTAGCCCTCTTAGCCAAAGAGTAGACCCAGAGTGATTGGAGACAGCATCGGGAGGTGGGGATGACACAACAAGACCCTTAAATAGCCTACTGGGCAGCAGCGTTTTCAACCCGCTCCAAAAGCAACCGAAATCCGGCTGGTGCTGCTCGGGAGAATAAAACCAAGACTTGGCTGGAGAGAAGGTTTTTATTGACTCAATACTTGAGCTTTTCAGCATACAAAGTCTTTATTCCAGTACAATATTTACACTTCTTACAGAATGTACATTTCAAAATAACAAGAGCGTGTGTGGTTCTGCATTTATAATGAAAACAAATAACTGGTAAGTTTGACACACCAACCTATAGACTAATGAAAGTCCATGGAGTGAGGAGTGGGCCAGGAAACCCCAAAGAAATGCCAGTGAGCCGCTCGGGCTGAGCCTCCCATTCTGGGCAGAGAGCTTTAGAAAGCTCCTCACAAGGTGACCATCTTTCCCTGCTTACAATCACATGGCTTTATTACTAAGTTCTTCTATTTCCTTTGGGGAAAAACAGGATCAGATGGAACATAATATGAAAGATGCTAAAAGGATAAATGCAACACAAAGAATATTCTCCATTTTTTGCAATTAAAAAACCAACTACTCATTATATACCTGCAAACAGCAAATTTATGTAAACAGAAAAGATGTCTAGGAAAAATAATATCGATTGTAGAACTGATGCACTGAAATTCAATTTAAAATACTTGAATAGGTTAATTCTGATGCTGTGAAAATGTTAATGTTTTCACATTTCCCAAGGCTGCCCTCCTTGTCCGCCAGGAGGGTTAGTGAGAGGGTGTTATTCAGCCGCCAATCACCACAAGGTGAAGCTATTTCAAGCGGTGATTTCACCGCTGAGAGGAGGGGCCTGGGCCCCTGCCTCCACGTTCTCATGGCAAAGGGGCACTGCGAGCCTTGGGTGCTTAGGCCATTTTTCAAGTTGATATCCATATTCAAAAAAGGAATGGTCATGAAATTTCAAAAATATCACTAACAGTGTAGCCATCTGGGAACACTGCTACTATTCAAAACAGGGATTAAATTCTGTCATAAATGAAAACATAAATAGTTGTAATCTTTTTGGTTTATTATAATCATGTCTTTTTACAAAGAAATGTAAAAAATGTTGCTACATGTGTAAGGTTACCTTTTAAAATACTGCTTAAGACATTATAGATCATTAAACTGTTTAGGCCATGAAACAAAAAGAAAATTTCAAAATTCATTCATGAGAAGATGAAAGCACATATTTCAACACATATGTACAACTTTCAGAAAGCACAGAAGATACTAAATCTAAAGGGAAGACCGATGTCAACTAGTCAAACACTGTAATGCAGTGGAAGCTTAGAAATACCTGAATTTTGAAGCACTGTACCAAAAGTAATTTAAAAAAAAGAAGCATTCATGAGCATATACCTATTGTTGCAATGAAGGCATTATAACTATTTAACCAGCAGATAACCTAAAAAATTAGAGCTTTCGAAATAAATTTCACCTTCTGTATTCTGTTCTCAGATCGAATGCTGTTTGCTTACACATTCTGACTTTTAAAATGCGAACAAGCCAGACAATCTGCATTATGAGGGAGTTAAAAAAAAGCAGCCACAACAGCGGGAGCCTGACAGTCCCCAACCCCCCTCGGTCCTGAGGCCGAGCAGGCGCCTCCTCTTCAGACCCCGCCAACAACTCACGCGACCGTTTCAAAGTCACAACTTAGTAAACTCAGGTGTGTTACACATGATAAAAAGCCATTACAGCATAGGGTTTGTAGTATAGCAAACCACAACAAAACGTGGCATTGGCTGGAAATGAGTCACAGGCCTGAAATGAATCTCCAATGACGTGAGCCTATGGGGTGCCGGGAAGCAGAATCCAGAATTCATTTCCGCCCATTCGCTCTACCGGGGCTACAAAACCTCCCTTCTGAGGTTTCCTCCCAGCCAGCCCAAGAGATCAAGCAGCAGAAATGTGTCATCTGGTGGCGTCCTCCCTGAAAAGACTGAGCTTTGACGTTGGGGCTTTCAATGGATTCTAAGTGACCAAGCAGCCCCGTGCAGTGGAGCAAGAGGAGAGAGGGGCCCGTAGCACCAGAAGCCACGGCTTAGCACCGAGTGGCCAGAGCAGCAGAGGCCTAGGAGCCCTTAGGCGTGGGGGGGAGGGGGCCACCAGAGCCGACTTCAAAACAGTTTTTTAAGAGAGCTCTGGTTGTGCACCCTTGCATTGATTTATGCAAATTATTACTTTTTCTTCTTTCAAAGCTGTAGTCGTTTACTTTGTAATCAAGGTACACTAGATATTTTACTGGAAACAGGCTAAAATTTTTAAGGAAGTAATTACAGTCTAAAGGCATATAAAAATGTGCTTTCAGGACTTAAGTGTACATTTTCTCTCAGCCATATGGCAGGAAAGCAATAGGACTTAAATCCTAATTTTAAAATGACAAAACAATAAATCTCTAACACTCCTCAAAGATACCAGTGACTGCTGACCACTAGGCAAGCCTGGCTAATTGATAGAATTTAACAAATGAGATCACTGACGTTTTTCTCTAGCATGGTTTTTCTTCATAAAACTACCTGATTTGATATTAAATCCCTTGATAACGTAATTAACTGTGACCTATTTAAAAATCCAATGTTGGAAATTACAATCTACTCAAATAACACATCATTTCTCCACTTACGCAACAACGAAATCAAATTTCCAAATCTCTACTTGGAGACCAAGTGTCCACATTCCAATTTTATTCCTTAGTGACATGATTCATAAGTAAGGGACGATTACACACATGGGGCGGCTACATATAGAGGAAGCCTCGAGATCGTAGGCGACTATGCCGGGACGTTAGACATGAGAAAGAAGCCTTGGGCTAGAAAGGTCAAGAGCTACAGCTCTGCTGCTCCGGAATGAAAAGATCTGGGATCAGTAGTTTGTGAACTGAGAACATGCATCTACTTCCTAAGGCCCGGGCGGGGCAGGCCCCCCGGGCGGGTCAGAGCTGAGGAAAGGACGGAAAGTTGGTTCCGCATGAGGTCAGAGCTGAGGAGGAGGAGCCCAGGTAAGCCCGTGCCTCTCCAGACACAGACAACAACACAAATTTGCCACTCCGTCTGGAGCAGGGGCTAACAACAAACCTCCAAAGTCTTCCATTTTCTAGTCAGCTACTTCGAAAGTAACATCTTGATTACAGCTTAATTTTGAAAATATTCAAGTAATTTTTGGAGGAATTCTATTGCATTGATCAATCTGGCCCGGAGCTGACAGACTCCCAAGGACCAGGCTCCACCACAGGAAAGTTCTCCACCAGGAACCCTGGAGAACCCCGGAGCTGAGCCTGGGATTGGGCCATGGGATCAGGGACGTTCTTCCTCACTCTGAAAATCACCTACTGCATGGGGGATGAGAAGGCGTTCCTTCGCCGGGCCACAGAGCCAGCCTTGGCCCTGAGCTCTGGCTGTGCAGACGTGGTTAAAGGAATGTGCTAAGCATAACATGTGGAAAGAGGTGGCCATGGCCCCTAAAAAAGTCCCCCCGACGACCCATCCTAAGAGGCTTCCCCGAGCTCTGACCTTGTTTCAGCACAGCAAGCCCCTAAAGCAGGCCCCTCACACCCACTTCCAGACAGGCTCTAAAGCAGTATCCCCTCCCGGAAGGCAGAGGTGCAGAGACAATCATTCACAAAACTGTTTCCACATGGAGTTGGTGACGAATGTACCTTTTCCCATCACTCATTTACTATCTAGAAAATCTGAATGTGCAGCATGGAAGCAGGAGGAAAATGTGCATTTTCAGCTGTGTGAATAAGAGGGCACCAGATTTAATGCGTTTCCCTTCTTTAAAGAAATCAGAATTTCTGTGAATCTTGCTGGAAACGGTTTAGTTTTTCTGGATTATTGGAGGCCATTTGGGAAAAATCACGGAAAATATCTTGGTAAGTTTCATCACCTGCGTAAAAAGAAAATGAGGAAACTTGTCAGACAAATGGGGCAAATGTGCAAATGTACATGAAATCTGATGTCTCTTAATTAGAACTTTGTACTGGGAAATTCATGATTTTACCGAGCAAAAGTCATGAGTCAAGAGACAAGAAATAAGTTCAAAGTAAGTGACAGGAAAGCAAACAGTGAAAAAAGCCAGTACCTGGAAAAGGGGCCTCAGACGCAGCCAGAGAAAAAAGGGTAGAGTTAGAGAAGGCAATGAACCGAGGACCAACGCATTTAGGGACACGGCAGAAGCAGTCATTCTGAGGACTGGCTGAACACAAAGCACTTCTGTGAAACTCAGAAAGAGGCTCAAAGGCCCAAGCCCACGAAAGCCTATTTAGGAAATGACAAAAAACCAAACCAGCCCTCTGACGACAGAAAGCATCCGTTGTGGGACGCCCACTACCTGTGGGACCTTGGACAAGTCCCTCTGCCTCCTCAGGCCTCAGTTGCCCCATCTGTGAAAGGAGGGGGCTGAGCTAGGTGGCCCCTGAGGTCTCTGGTGGTGAGTAAAGTGGCGACACATGGCTGGGGACCAAGGCCAGCCCTTTGGGGTTCCCTGCCTGCATCTCCCCTCAGGGCTTGTCATGAGCCAGAGCAGCTGGACTGGGGGCATGGAAGCAGGCTCTTCTCTTCCCAGGAACAGCTGAATAAAGGGGTACTCTGACAACGTGGCCAAGTAATGGAGCAGCACTGGCATCCCTTGAGATACGCACACAGAGGCCTCCCCGGACAGAGGAGTGCCAGCCCTTGGTCCAGAGCTGCATTATTACGCGAGTGGGGGGGCAGGGGACATGTGCAGGAGCTTGGAATACTGTTCCTGTTCTCAGGGCCTCCCCAGTGCCCTGGGCCTCGTGGCAAAGCCATGGGAGCGACAGTAGGCTCCCTGTGGGCAGGGGTGCGGAACAAGGAACGAGGCTGAGCTTCTCCCAAACCAGAGGGATCATTCAAAATGGGGGGGGGGAGGATCGCAGCATGTCCTACTTATCTGACCCTCGGATGTCTGATCTGAGAGGAAGGAGAATCCTTTAACAGTCTCCTTTCATGCACATTCTACATGAAAATAAATTTCTCTGGAAGTTACGGAAGCCAGTCTACTGACTTCTGAGTTAGCGCCAGGGATTCTTCCTGAGCTGAAACCCGAGTAATTGGATATTGTGTCTGAATGAATGCAAAGGAGCTGAGAGAGCTGGCAGTGGCCACTGTTGCGTCAGGTAAGGAGAGGACCAAGCCGGCAGGAGCCATACTCCACTGGTTTAACAGAGGAAGCAGTGGGACATCCCGCCTCCCTGCCCAGACCCCCACCTCCAACAGGGAGTGACCAAGCCCTTACAAGGAGAAGGAGGAGGAGGTGACCAAAGAGGAATGATTCTAGAAAAGAGAGGTTTAACCAAGTTTCCCTTATCTTAATGGCTGCAGTAAAATACTCATTGTAAACAGTGCAAAAAGCATTCTTCCCCATTGTTTAAACCAGAGTCTGGTACTGGACCTTTCAAAAAGTGTGTTTAAAGTGCAGGTCAGTTTAATACAAAAATACTCGAGCACAGGAGCACAGGCTTTACTCTTCAACACAAAGGCAACAGAAGAGGCACATGGAAGACATTTGGGAAGGAGGCCCACCAGAGCCCAGAAAGGGCCCAGGACACACTGGCAGGGAAGAGGAGCTGCCTTCAGCTCCTGGCCACGCCGGCCAGCACCCCCAACCGGCCCCTCTGGAAGGACCACTGCCCATGGCGAGGTCCCACATGGCCAATGCCCGGACACAACCGCAGCAGGAGGGACACACATGCTCACCCACGCACATACACTAACAAGAAATGGACACCTGAACCCTACTTTTCCTCATCCACCTGCTCTCCAACAGTGAGGGCCTTAAATGGAGTGTCTGGAAGAAATGGAATGATGAGATCCATGCAACGTGCATAGTAACAGACAGGCTTTGGAACAAACCAGTATCTGGTCACTTAAAACTGCCTCAACACCCAAAAGGCAGGCTGGCTGCCTCCTCCTGACTTCTGAGAGAACATCAAGCAGTACCACTCCTGCTGGGAGGCCTCCCGAGACCCATTTCAATGCTTATACAACAGCGCTTACCTTAATGAAAGATTCCCAGGCCAGGGCACCCCTGAAATCTCTCTCTCCCATCAAGTGGGAGCTCCCTCGTTTGGGTTTCTGAAAAGTACTGAGGCCCACCCAACACTTGATGCTCAGCCCCCTGCTTCTACTTATGGGGTGCTGAATGCACACGGCCACTTCCCCTCGGAGCCTGACCACTGCTATACAGCTTTTGGGGAAGCTTCTCCTTCAAGGCTAACTGGAGCTGTGCTTGCCCTCGACACAATGCCTGAAGGGACTCCAGCTAGTGGGGCAGTCATTCCGTGTGACGGGGCTGAGCACAAGATCCCCTTTGGACACATCCCCGACTGCTTAGGCAAACTGGGCGTGGTGTGGGGTGTTACTGTGTCTGAGAGACCGATCCAAACAGGTTTTAGCAATGGTGAGGCCTCACTCTCTCAGTCAGGGCTCCCCAGAATTATGGGAAGGGATCAGAGGGATTCACTTGGCAAAACTGTAATTTATGTCTCCCTTCCCCTTCTAAGTGAGCAGGAAGCCCTGGCCCTACAAACCTGAAGGAAGGTCCTACCAGGCCAAGTTAGAGAGCCAACTTCCCCTTCCAGCCCAGAGTTACAAATGAAGGTTACCTGATGAGCCACCACTGAAGACCTTTCCTCTGCAGCCTTGCAGAGGCCAAAGAGCAGGCTGTCACTTTGTCAGAGAGACAAGGGGGCTGCCTGGGCTCAAGCGTGTGGGCTCCCTCAACACCCAGAGAAAATACTGAGCTTTCCATGAGAGAAAGGGGACCCAAAGACCGGCAACATCTCCTTTTTACTCTGGCAATATTGCTCTCACTCTAGTAAGCTATTCTTAAAATTGTCCAAATGTAAAATGTGGAGGAAGATGCTTCTTTAGAAAGCGTTTTAGATTTCCAGTTAAACAAACTAATAAAATCACCTTTTCTCTACTTTGAACCCAGAAAGGTCCAAGGAAGGCATTGAGAGGGTCGACAGTGGTACCAGCAGTACAGCCCCAGGGCTGTGGGGGGACACCAGGAAGGCAGCCCCCTGCAAATCCTAGCATCCTGCTCCCCAGCCCCCAAATTCACACCAAAGACAGGGGAAGAGAACTTCGTCAGCAAATACAACAGGAGAAGGGCCAGCTGACCAAATGGTGGCAGTCTAGAATTTCAGGGGAATTCTGAAAACCTGAAAGTTGCCTATTTTATAAATGTCAGGTTTGATATATACATATACATATATATGTGTGTACACACACACACACACACACACACACACACACACACACACACACACACACATATACAGTCTCTCTCTCTCTTTTCTATTTTAAAGTGCTTAAACACAGAGGCCTCAAAAGCGGCCTACTAAGTATATGATAATTTAAATGTCTGATATAAAAATCTCACAATTCAAGTTTAGACTGATGGGTGACCTTCAGAACCACAGCTGAAAACCCAACTGGCACCTAATTCATAGCCCAGCATCTTCAGAGTCTGAGCCGTAGGACAAAAGCCAGCCAGACCCGCCCATCTTCTGGAGGCCTCAGCCTCCACTTCGACCCTTAACAAGTTAATACAACCCTCGGAGAAAACAGCGGCTTTCTGTTTGGCTTCTCAATTTAAACGTCCACTAGGACAGCATGCTATTTAATGCCCAAGTAAGTGCCCTCTGTCAGGGAAGGGCCAGCAAATAAGGGAGGCCTCCTGCGTGCAAGACTAAAAAGCCCATCAGGGCAAGCTAGGTCGTGTTCGTGTGTCCCACATTAGTGGCTCAAGCTCGCCTCTCAGGCATGAGAACCTGAAAATCTAACCAAAGTGGACATGGAGGTGAAGTGTTCAATGGATCACTAAGACTAAAATAACGTAATGGCAGGAGAGGCCTCTGCTAACAACTCTCGTCTTGGAGAACACCAAGTGTGGACGACTGACCAGGCTGGAGGGGCCTCCAGCTCCGCATGCTGACTCATCGTGGGACCCAGGACTACTCCTTCTGAGAACGGAGGAGGTTGGCAAGTCAAGATTTTGCTCAACTAAACAAGTTTGGAAACAATATTTTAAACACATTTCATCACTTACTGTGCTTTCTGGACATGCCAAATCCCGAAACACAGCTAAGCCTTCCCCCATACATCCTTCTGTCCATAAACTAGCTACTGAGTCCCGTTATGGCCTACTGACTTGAGAGTTTTATTTCAAAGCCTCCCAAATTAGCTATTTTTGTTTGATGACATACAAACATTTCTTAATTTAGTCAACTTTTTTCTTTTGTATTTCCCAAATTGACTTTTCCCCACATACCAAAAAGACTAGGATTTCTTTGGCCAATGAAGGACTTGGTTACCTGAATCGTGGAATCACTTTGTTTTCCCCACCTGACAAGAGGCTCCTCCAGGGGTATGCTCGTTAGAAAATGCCTGCTCTGTTGCCCCATGGGTGTGCCAAGCAGCCCTGGCCATCCTTGACCCCTCACTGGAATATTTAAGGATGGAAGAAAGACAAACAGCAGAGAAGGGAAGTCCACAGTGGGCAGGAGGGAGCTGCCTTCTGGACTGTCAGGTAAGAAGGTATCTAAAGGCCTGGCAAGGAGCCCCTGGAGAAGCCACTGAATACTGTACATGTATCAGCCAAGAAATTCACAACTTAACAAGTCAAGTTAAAAAACACTATTGTACCAAGGTAACATATTTTTCCTAAGAATTATGGATCTTCTAACTGTAAACTGATAAATTCCTGAATGCATTTCTTATATTGCATCTCTGTGTGATTATTAGGAGAATATTGACCTGGCTGTCCGTAAAGTCCTTCAGACTCCCGCATCTCTTCATTCATTCTGGCCAAACGCAACCTTGGGTTAAAAGAAAAAAGAAGAGTTACTGAGATAAACCAGAGCAGCTATAAGCTCAGGTTACCTATGTATGAAACATAGCACCCAACAGCGCAGGCGGACCTTGCTTAGGGCCCTGGGGACAGTGCCTCGAGCTGGGCTTCCACGGCCCCACACCCACAATCCACCTCTTCAGGTGAGGCTGGGTCTGCCAAGAAAGGCAGCAGCCATACACAGGAATGCCTGACCTCCTTGGGCTTCACTGGACTGATGCCAGACTTTGTGGGGACCCCCAGTGGCTCACTCCATCTGCCAGCCTCAGCCTCCCTGCAGCTGGGATTAAAGGCAAGCCAAATCACGTGTGGCCCGCAATCTGCTCTGGAGATTTCAAAAGTCTTATCAATAAAATCCTGATTTTGCCATATCTGTTCTCATAAGCTGTGCATAAAGAACACAAGCTTCCTGATCCCTGGTGTTGTAAGCACTTGGACAGCTTCCGAGCTCATCCAGCCCGAGGCCAGGCTGAAAGGAAGCGCTCCTGGGGCCCAGCACACTTCCCTCTCTGTGGCTAGGCTACTCGTGAAGTGACCACGGCTGCTGAGGCTGCCCTGACTTCCACTAAAGAAAAGTCAGTGTGGCCAGGAGCTGGACCAAAGATGGTTGGTCCTCTCAGAAAAATGTGCAACTGAAAAGAAAGCATTCTTCCAACCTCTAAGCATGTCTGTGCAGAAACCCCACACAAAGAGCCAACCTCCAAGACACGGCTGCTGCGTTCTCGGGGGAGCCCCAAAGAGCAAATCTGAAGGCATATGGACGCCTCAGTGGGGACATCGCCTCAAAGGTTCGCCACCGTGGCTACAGGCCACCATTCATCTCCCCCAGCCTTCCTCCCACAAAGCCTTCACAAATAAGGCAGCCCCAGCAGACGCTTTTCTTTGGATCTGTTATTGCTGAGAAAACGCCAGAGGCACACGCAACCTGTTCGACCCTTATCCCTGGTTCTCAGCATGTGAACACATGCCCCCCATCTCTTGTCTGTCACGATGGACAGGTAAGGAGGCTTGGCTGAGTCCTGTGCTCAGGAGGGAAGAGAAAGACAAGTAGGGGCAAACTGCAGAGCGTTCAGTGACTGCAACCTGCCCCGAAACAGAGACCCCACCTCGCACCAGCATTCCTTGAGGTGGCCAAAGTGTTGAGAATCATACTATACAGCCCTGCTGGCACACACACTGGGGAATACCCCCCCAATACCATAAAAGCTGTCAAAGAGATGTAGGACCAGATGGAGGGGAGGCAGACATAGAGCCAGAGTACTGACGTAATGCCAGGAGATCTGGAGTGAGGGTCAGGGCATGATGGGGGGGCCCTGGCACAAACGTTATGTCTCTGGGCATCTCTCTCTTTCCCCCTCCGTCCCTGGGTGTCTCTCTCTTTCCTCGCTCTGTCCCTGGGTGTCCTTCCCTCTTTCCCCTTCTCCCTCTGTCTCTGGGCATCTCTCTCTCTTTCCCCCTGTCTCTGGGTGTCTCTCTCTTTCCCCCTCTGTCCCTGGGTGTCCCTCCCTCTTTCCGCCTCTCCCTTTGTCTCTGGGCCCTCTCTCTGTCTTCACTCCCCCTCCCTGTGTCTCTTCAGTGCTTCCAAGAGATACTGCCACACCACTGGTCCAACTCTTCAGAGCTCCCATACTGCCCCGCCATATTGCTGGCAAGCTCGTGCCTCAGTCATGCCATTCCATTCCCTTGCCAGACCCTGAGAAGGGGTGTCTTCTTTTCTCACTCTCTGAGATGTGAATATGTGACAAGGAGATCCCAGACATCTTCCTCACATTCTGACTGCGTGGCGCGCAGAAGAGAGATCTCATCAGGGGCTCCCCAACCCACTTCTAATGCATCCGCCCCAGGCGAGGCAGCCTCCATCTCTCCTGGTCATTCTTAGCGTGACAAAGCCGACTTACAGGGTCACGATATCTGCATTCGCGGCTTCTACGGCAATGCTCAATGGGTCATTCCCTTCCTCGTCCGTGGCGTGCTGGTTGGCACCTCGCTTCAGGAACAAACACACTTGCCTGTGTAAAAAAAGTGAGCCCCGCAAGCCCAGACTGGTCTTAGGAAGGCAAGTGACTCCATTTACACAAAGAGTATCTTTTCAACAGGGAGCATGGCATTAAGGGAGTGCCCAGGTACAAGGGGTACATGAGGGGGATGTAGAGTTATACAAATGACAATCTTTAATCTTCCAATCTAGCTTAAAATCCAGCAAAATGGGGATTTCAACCCACCTTTTCTAAATGGCAAAGGTGGGCAGGGGGCATTCCTAGAGACCAAGGCCAAAGGGCCCTATTATGTCCGATGGAGAGGACTAAAATGCCACATGTTGAAGGGAACCCAGCCTTGGGGCTTCTCTCATGGCACCCTCCACTCCAGGAGCGGCCAAAAAGAACACGGGGCCCACGGTGAGCCAGGAGCGGGGGCAGGAGGGAAGAGGGAGAAACACCAGGGGCCCACGGGCGGGACAACTTCCGAACAAGGGCCCCACAAGATGGAAAGGGCCCAGAGGGGTTGGCTGGCTCTTCACCAAGGGAAGGGGTGACCATGCTGAAGGGCTGAGAAACAAGCTGCCATTTCCTTTGGGGCTTCTGGTCAGTGCACAGAGCCTCATGCCCCAAGAGCATAAGGGAGATGAGCTGGCCATGAGCCTCGACTCAGGTTATGAGCCTTGACTGTCAACCTAACGGGCCTCCTCTTGAGTCACAAGCCAGGCGTTACTGTAGAGACTGGAGCTAAAAAATGCCACTGCTACTTCGATGCAGAAGGAAGGAAACCCTTCCTTTTGAGTGAAGGTCTTTGGGAAGGCATGGCGGATGACAACAGGGCCTGGTGAATAATACCGCTGCCATTTCCCCTCTCCACGCCTCTCCACTGACCATCCCCCAGTCCTGGAGCACCCTGCCTCCTCACCTCTGCCTTTGAGATGCCCTGGCGACCTTCAAGACTCAGTCCAAACCCCACCTTCTACAGCCTTCCCCACCATGTCATCTTCCTTCTACTTCACTAGAACATATGGCAGGGGCAGAGATTCCCAGCACAGTGCCTGGCACACAGTATGAGCTCAAAAACTGCTCCCTGACTCAACGAGCCGGGATATCTACAGTGGGAATAGAGAGACCCCAGAGCTTTTTCAGTAACTGGCTCAGTGACTGAGATGAGAGATGATGCAGGGAAGAGAGTCAAAAACGGCCCCAAGGCTTTTTTCAAACACGGGAGACTGAGGTGAGCTGACTTTGTTTTTCTCCCCCTTTCAAATTCCATCTTATTGAAATAACACGGCAAAAGTGCTGCCCGTAACTCACGGCTCTTACCCAGTGTGCCCCAACACGGTGGCGTGGTGCAGTGGGCCTCGCCCTTTGGTGTCCCGTTGATTCACGTTTGCACCATTCTGCAGGAGGAACTCGCAGGTGACCAGGGAGCCCTAGGACATGATGAAGGAGAAAGTGGGAACGCAGCAAGGACCCAACATTTCCCAGACTAGCCCTGACAACACCTCCGCTCCGGCCTGAAGACAAACAACAAAGAACGCCCCTCCTGCCCCAGGCTCCCCCTCCCCTGAGAGCCAGTCACCTGCCCCAAAGGCCAAGTCTCTTCACTCTCAGTGGCTCCGTCAGATGGCACACTTTGAGTCTTGGCAATTCCAACTCATTAGGTACAATGACAACAGAAAAGCTTAATTAGCCAGGAATGTAACCTAGAAGACCCATTTTTTTTTTTAGGCAATTGGGGTTAAGTGACTTGCTCAGGGTCATACACCGAGCAAGTGTCAAGTGTGTGGTCTGAGGTCCTCCTGACTTCAGGGCCGGTGCTTTATCCGCTGTGCCACCCGGCTGCCCCCTCAGAAGACCCATTTTCAATCATGATTTAATGAGCCACTTCCTTGCCATTGCCAGAGGCGCGCAGGGTACAGCAAGTCAGAGCACCCAACTCAGAGTCAGAAGATCTGAGTTCAAATCTCGCCCTCAGACACTTCTTGGCTGTGTGACCCTGGGCTGGCTTCAGCTTCCTGTAATATGAGGGAGTTGGCCTCCAAGGTCTCTTCCAGTTCTGAATCTTACTGACAAAAGTCACACTGAAACTGTCCCCAAGCTGGACGCTCCAGCCCGTCTCTCTGCAGCCATCCCCACCAAAGGGCACGTGCATGGCTTCCCTACCCCTAAGACGGCCTGGATGAGTGGCGTGGCTTTGTTCTCTTCAGGATTTGCCCAGTTGACATCTGCTCCATGGGCCAATGCCTCGGCCATGGCAGGAAGCCTTTTTTCATAGGAAGCCCGGTACAGCTGGAGTCCTGGATGGAGATGCTGAAATTCAAGAAATACTGAAGAATCTCGTCTTTCTCCCTCTGAAAAGGAAACATATCCATGAGCCATGTTCCATGGTGCAAAAATGCTAACAGGGTGGCCTGGCAGTCAGCTCTTCTTGGACTAGAGCACACCAGTCAATGCTCGCCTTGTGCTGGCAAGGGAGGAGGCTGAAAAGGCCTCCAGGAGGCCAACTCCAAGGCACACAGACTTGGGGGAAGGGCAGCTCAGCCTGCTGGGCGTTTCGTCCTTAGACTGCAGGTCAAACTCCCCAAGGGGCCTCTGGGTTTCCTCCCAGATGGAAATGATGGGTGATGGCATGGTCACCACCCAGTGGATGGTCAGATACTCCACACTGAAGCTCAGAAAGGACCCAACTTCTGCTGAGACAACACTTGGTGAAGGTGGGAGGTCATGAGTATTGGTGCCAAGTACAAGTCAGGGGAAAAAAAGCCAGTTGGGAAGACTAACATATCCTGGAAGGGAAGAGCATCGAAAGGACTTCCAACGTGGCAAAGAGATAGAAGAACCAGGGGAAAGCTGGCCATTCTCTGGCTGCTGGTGGGACCTTCTCACCGATTCTTGGGCCTGAAGGCAGAAGAAGTAAGGGAGGGCTTTCCTACGGAACAGAGCCTCAGTGAGGCTTCCCTGATCTGCTCTTGGCTTTACTTGGTGACTCTCTCAAGAACTGAGCAGAGTTTTCAGAAATACCTTTGGGCAAAAGCCAAATTAAATACAATTTAATTGGAGGAAAAAAACCCACCTGGCTCATATAAGCTATTAGCTGAAACCACTGAGGACAGGCCTTCTCTGACATCATCAGCGCACTGCTGGATTCCACTGTCATTGCTTTTGACTGTTGAAAACAGAAGGTGAACAAGGAATGAGCCCCTACCATGGAGGAAATATGCTTCACAGACAGCATGCTGAAGCTTGCTCACCTCCAATTCATCCAGAATTCGGCCACCACCAATGAATGTGAAAACAATGAAATACATTCACCAAACAATTATAATTTTTAAGTACTTAGCTCATCCAGATAGATGGATCGCCAAAGTCTAAAATCATCCTTTATTTACATCAAGACATTTTAAAGGGTATGATCCTCTCAAAATGTCAGGATAAGCAAAGTGCTGAAATTCTGATACGGTTCTGACATGGTTCAGAGTGATGCTCTAAGACAAATGGGTTCACAGGTAAAGAAATGGTCCCACCACACAATGAACACTACTATAGACTTGGAAGGCTCCGCTAGAGAGAGGAGTACTTACTACTACGTAGTTTTGAAGAGGTATCAAAGTAGGAGAAGAGTGAATCTAGCTCATCAGGACAGAACAGAGATTCCCGCCTGGCCTCGTCGCTATTTACAGCCACCGCTGGGTACATGCAAGTTATCAAAGCACAAAGCAGGCAATAAGGAGGGAAAAGGGCAGGAAAGAATGTTACTGGGGGAGATTTCGAAAGAGCAAAAAGGAAGTTAGGTAATTAAGAAGTTGTTGGCTTGGGTTAGGTCTGGGGGAAAACGATGAACCAGATAGCATTTTTGTCAGTCTATCTAAACATGACAGTCGGATTGTTGGAATGTGCCCACCATCTCGTTGTGAATGATAGCTGCACCCCAAAGGACATTCTTTTAAGGATGACAACTAGCAAAGAAATCTACCATTTCCTGTGCAGGCTGAAAAAGAAGGACCTTGGGCTGCCTGCCTTAGGCTAACAATTCATTAATTTAATTCATTACAATAACTGACCACAATGTTTGAGACAACGCTTACTTACAAAATGGATCAGCACCTAGACTTCTGACTGATGTCCCAATTTGGTCCTCTAGTGCTGGCTTGGAGGTACTGAGCCCCTTCTCCTCCCGACCTTGGCTCGGGGCTCTCTTCCCTTCCTCTGGAGGTGAAGAAGAGGCAGAATCCTTATCCACAAACTTTCTCTCCACATACTTTGCTTTGATGTATGCTTCCTTCTCCTGCCTGATACATAAAAGTAGAGGATACGTCAGTCAATTACCTAATAACTGTTGGTCCAAACTAAAAAGAGACCATTAAACACTTCTGGTCATTCTCTGAGCATAGCTATATTCTTTTGCACAGAGAGCTTAGGATGCTACCTTTCCCCCCCAACTCGTGCTTTACGCCATGGCTGACTCAAATTGCCCTGAAGGCTTTAAGCCCAAGCTCCCATACCACTGACTGGGGCATCCAAGGCAAGGCATTTAACCCCTTGGTGCCCCAGGCAGCTCTCTTGGCTAGAAGGTAGGTTCCATAGACCAAGGATATCATGAGGCCAGGCCAGAATAAAAGACAGATGGATCTAGTCAGGCCACTTCGCTGCTCAAAACCCTCCAGTGATTTCCTGTTGCCCCTGAAGTCTTGTGAAACTTCCCTGCTCTATCTATGGTCTGGCCATGCCCATAGAACTCCCATTTTTTTCTTAGGCACCTAGAATACCTGCTCATCTCCTTTTCAACGTCAAGGACTCAAACACTAGGCACTTAGGAAGCACTCCATTAAGTACCATGAGCCAGACTTCAGTATGGTTAATAGAGAGCACAGGAAAGTAGAACATGCAATCCCCGGCCGCAAGGAACTTGAGGAAGAATTTATTTTTTCATTCTGGCAAATACCATCCTCCCATCCAGCTGTGGTCTTTGGTTCACCTAGAACACACACATGGCCTCTCTCTGATGTACTTCAGTAGATGCTGCTGCATGGGACTGACATCTACGCTTCTGTCTGTTCTCAGGGTCAATGTAATCGAAGTATCTTAGAATTTTCTACCTTCCCAAGTATCTGGAACTGTGGTTTGCAGGAGAAAAACACTTAAAAGCAGTTAAGTATGTGATGAATGATGCAACAAGTCACATTTTTGCTTCTCAAAATTCATAAAAAGGGGGCAGCTAGGTGGTGCAGTGGATAGAGCACTGGCCCTGAAGTCAGGAGGACTTGAGTTCAAATCCGGCCTCAGATTAAACACTTGACACTTATTAGCTGTGTGGCCTTGGGCAAATCACTTAACTCGAATTGCCTTTAAAAAAAAATTCATAAAAAGGATGGCATGCTCAGAAGAGAACGCAAATGCCAACCCACGTTAAAAAAAATCCCAATTTTAAACAGGTGTTCTTTTGTGCTCTTAACACAAAGCCCTGGTTGAGGGGACATCTGTCTGGTATTTTAGAGGAGGAAAGCACATCTAGTTGAAAAATATCTACGGCCACCAGAGAAACGTCATCACAGAGAAAAGTGAAATGCAGATGCAAAGTGGAAACAAACAGTCAAAGTTCTGAAATGACTAACACAATGAGATCCAGGCAGACATGCACATGAGTCTCCTTCAATTAAAATACTGTTGATGGTCTGAGAACTTCTTGTATTTTATCTACAGTCAAGATGAGAAGACCTGGAGAAGTTGCAATCTCCATTAGCAAAGACAGTCCCCATTTCTGATAATGATGACAGAGCCTGAAGTGACCAACTATTTACACAACATTAAAAAAACTGGAGAAATAATATAATGAAATTGTATTGTGAAAATGAATGAGCTGCAAAAACTGGAGAAAAACACCAGGCTAGGTGAGCAGTGAGTGGAAGGATCTCACCAACACAGAAAAGGGCTTGCCTGGGTATGGCTGGAATGGTTCAAAGAGAGAAGGCCAACAGGCAAGAAGCAATGGAAACAAGCAAAAAGAAAATAAGTGTTGGAGGAAACAGCAGGGGTCAGATTCTCCACCTCTGCCAAGGCCAGCATAGACTGGACCAGGCTTGAAGACCTGCCACTCCTAAATCCAACCACAACAATGAGATGCCTTCCTATTTTCCACAGAGAACATGTGCTCAATTAAATATGGCAACATGTGTGGTAACCCAAGTTTCAATACCAAGGCCTTCTTCTCTAAGACACTCTTGGATCTCCCTTCAGCTGGGCCCTCCTTGATGGAAGGTAATCATTTGTTCCTAATTGATTTGCTACCCCTTTCCCCACTGTGGAAGCCATCCCAGAGCTTCTTTTTCCTCCTCAGGTCCCACCTCCCACACTGACTGTCTGCCACTGATGAGCGTATAGCTTCTTTGTCCATATTTGTTTTCTGGTTGGCTCCCCCATTAGACTGTAAGCTCCTTGAGGGCCTGGACTGCCTTTTGCCTCCTTTTGTCCTGCCAGCTCTCAAAACGGTGCCTAGTACACAGCAGACCCTTAATAAATGTTTACTGATTGACCGACTTTCTCATTTTGCCTCTTATTTTACTAAGACAACGGAGGTTACTTAACATAAGCCTCCTTCACCCTTTTTTTATCTCAAAATCCTTCAACATCTTCCTCACTACCTTCCCCCAGTCTGACATCATAATCCACTCTCTTCCCCCAGTCTCTGACAATCACCCTTCTCTCTGCCAAGACCAAGACCTCCACATGTTGTCTTGATCCCATCCTTTCCCTTCTTCTCCAGCAGAGAGCCACCCTAATCATGCCTCTCTCTCATTTTCGACCTTTCCCTCCCTCCCTACTGCTTCCTTCTTGAGGCTCCTAGGAGGTGCTACAGTGTCTAGAACGCTGGGCCTGGAGTCAGGAAGACCTGGGTTAAAATTTGGTTTCAGACACTTGCTAACCGTGTGACCCTAGACTAATCACTTCACCTCTGTTTGACTCAGTTTCCTCAACTGTAAAATGAGAATAATAATAGCACCTATTTAACAGGATTGTTCTGAGGATCAAATAAGGTCACGTCTGTAAAGCACTCAGCGCTGCCTGGCACATAAACAAAATTAAACATTAATCAAAGCAGGTACATATAGGAGGTACTTAATGTTTCCTTCCTTCATTCTTTGCCTCCAGAACATGCCCATGTCATCCATCATTGAAAAACCTTCACCTGCCCCTACTCTCCCCTTCAGCTATCATCTGATAACGCTTCTCTCACAGTCAAATGAAAAGAAAAAGCTGTTGATATAGTCTTTCCTTCCTCTCCTCTCACTCCTCAGCACTCTGATCTCTGGCTTCCGACCTCAAGACCCAAGTGAAACTGCTCTTTAAAAAGTAACCATCCATCTATGAATGACCTAATCAGATTGATTCGGCCTAAGTCCTCATCCTTTGTGACCCCTCTGCTGCCAGTCAGTGAGTAAACATTTATTCAGTGCCCACTACGTACCAGGCACTGTGCTAAGCACAGGGGACTGAAAGCAAGGCAAAAGATGGTCTCTGCCCTAAAGTAGCTCAGTCACCGGGAAGACAACATGCAAAACCTATGTACAAACAAGTTACATACAGGGAAAGCTGGAGATAATTAAGAAAGGAAAAGCACTAGAATTAAGAGATTCCTGTAGAAGGGAGGATTTTAGCTGAGATTTAAGGAAGCCACAAAGAGAAGAGGAGAAAGCATTCCAGGCATACGTCAGGACAGCCAGAAAAAATACCTAGAGCCAAGGAATGGATGGTCTTGTTCAAGGAACGGTAAGAAGGCCAGTGTCAATGGATCAAAAAATATTGGGGGGGAGGGGGAGGGGAGCCAGCAGGTTATGAAGGGCTCTGAACACCAAACAGAAGATTTTGTATTTGCTCCAGGAGGCCGTAGGGAGCCACTGGAGTTTACTAAGTAGGGGTGAAAGGGGCAGAGCCAAGATGGCAGAGTGAAAGCAGTGACTTGCTTGAGCTCTCCCCCAAACTCCTCCAAATACCATATAAAAAATGGCTCTAAACAAATTCTAGAGCAGCAGAACCCACAAAAAGACAGAGTGAAACAAATTTCCAGCCCAAGACAACCTGGATGGTTGATTGGAAAGGTCTATTGCGCTGGGCTGGGAGAGGAACCCAGTTTGGCATAGATACAGAGGCAAAGACTAGACCTCAGTGAACCTGGAGCAGCCCTCAGAGGACTGAATCACACACAGCTGTGGTGGTTTCTAGACTTCTCAACCCACAAACACCAAAGACAACTTAGAAGGTCAGTAGGAAGTCTGTGACCTTGGTGAAAAGAGAAGCTAGGTCCCAGCCCTAATCAGTCCTGGCGCAGCCCTAGGGCGGCAGCTGTTTCTGGGGCTCTCGGCTCACAGACTGAGGGGGAATCGGGTGGTTGGTCAGAGTGGGATTGCAGGGATGTCTTTGCTGGTGCTGAGGCAGGATTCTCTTGCTTTGCCTGTGCTTGGATCTGGGTCACAGTTCTGCGTGGTGATCCTGGGGTGAGGAGGAGCACTGGCGTGGTGGAGCTTGTGGTGGTGAAGATGAAATCCTCCTCACAGTTCCAAGGCAGAAAAGGGTGCTTGTGGTCACTCACAGACCAGAGCATAGGCCAGGAAAACAGTAAACACCTCGACCCTTATGATACCACCTTGGAAGAACTGAAAATTTACAGATTCCTAGAAGTTATCTCCGAAAACAGCTGCACAAAACCCCTGAAGCATGGGACAGTACCTTCTCCACACTGGAAGGAGACCCCTACCTTAACAAAGAGTTTACAACTCAAGTAATTGGCTGGGATCATAAGCAAACCTCTCAAAAAAAGTCAGTCCATAGAATCTTACTTTGGTGACAAAGAAGATCAAAACCAGAAGAAGACAACAAAGTCAAAGCTCCTACATCCAAAGCCTCCAAGAAAACTATGAATCAATCCCAGGTCAAGGAAGAGCTCAAAAGGGATTTTGAGAAGCAAGTAAGAGAAATAGAGGAAAAACTGGGAAGAGAAATGAGAATGATGCAAGAAAATCACAAAAAACAAGTCAACAGCTTGCTAAAGGAGACCCAAAAAAATACTGAAGAAAATAACACCTTAAAAAATAGCCTAACCCAAATGGCAAAAGAGGTCCAAAAAGCCAATGAGGAGAAGAATGCGCTAAAAAGCAAAACTGGCCAGATGGAAAAGGAAGTCCAAAAGTTTACTGAAGAAAATACTTCCTTAAAAATTAGAATAGAGCAATTGGAAGCTAGTGACTTTATGAGAAATCAAGACATTGTAAAACAAACCCAAAAGAATGAAAAAATA